TTGAATTTATTAATTTTAATAAGAAATTAGCAAATAATACCCTGTCCTTAAGTGTTGTGTTTTGCTTTTTGTAACAGAGGGTGGCTGGACTGAGGAAGGGGGGAGTGGGATAAAAATGCCTTATGTACTTTTAAAGTTATTTCTTTTAAAATTTGAAATATTATTCGTAGTCATATCTTCAGTATTCAGCTCAACCAGAGGCAGAAGGCAACAGACAGGGAAAAAAAATCATAAAACTAACTTTAACCTAAGTAGCAATTCTTAATCCAAATTTTTTTCACTGATAAAGTGTGTCACCAGAATGTTGTTGAAAATCCTACTAAGGGAACCAGTTTTAAAGGGAAAGGGTTCAGTGCATCAAGGTACAGATGATGTGTGAAGTAGCAGAAGTAAAGAACTGTAAAATTATTATCGTATATTTACCTTTTTCCTTGATTTCTAGAAATGAAGATAGTGAGGTAGCTTTGCCAGTGAGTATGGTTCTGGCCTTCATCTGTGTCTGCTGACATGTTTAGATACTTGCCCTCACATTTCAACTGTGGTAGAATCTATTCATCCTTTAACAGAATTTGAACCCTCTGAACTCCCTACTGTAGAGTGGTGAAGAAGTTGTGGGGTTTTTTAGTATGTTCCTGAAAGGAGGTTGTGCATCTTTCAAAACGCATAGGATAAAGTTTATACCTCTATCAAAAAATCATTCGTTAATCCACAAAGTCTTGGAGAACCAGTAGTATTGCCTTAAAGCATAAAGGTATTTTTACATCCTGATTTTTATTATTATTATTACTATAGTTAGATGTAATTTGACCTTGAAATTTGTGTTTCACATACAAGATCTATGTATTTTCTTCCTGTAAGTAAAAACTCTTCAGCAGGATATAGTCTCTGGGTCTAGATTTGTGAACTGCTCCTGGAACGAGCACTTTCCTTCTTGCAAAGCCTCCTGCAGTTAGGGAGAATGCAGCTCAGCCTGAAATCGTGTTTCTAGAGCAGAAAAAGGTATATGTCTATGAGGATGGCTCTGCTAGCAAAGACATTTCTCAGATTGTTAGAATAAAAACCAGATATATTAGTGATTTGAGTGCTGTAGCCCTTCTCTCACTCTTTTCAAGTGAGCTTTACCTAGTTCAGTTCAGGCCTTCTGTGCACAGTGTCACTAACCTCTGCTTCAGTGATACTAGAGGACTAACTCTGAGTTCTCTTCTCAGTCTTCAGTTAATGTTGGAAAATAGGAAAAGTAATCCTTTTCCCCAAATGCTAAGAGAGTGGGGAGCTGCTGCTGTACAATCAGCAGCGGGGGCACAGCGCAGGCAGCTGGTACAGGAGGAGCAGTTCTCACGCACTCCCTTGTCTCTCTCTCTCACAAATGTCATCAGCTGGTGGTAAGAGTAGCAGCAGCAGGATCACAGGGGTGTATCTCACATGATTCACTGGGGTCCTGAGTTTATAAAAATAGTAGAAAGAGCAGACACAATTTCCACTCAGAAGTAATCTCTAGGGTGTAATGCCCTGGAAGGCAAGCCTTCTTTTCTTTCAGAATTTTCCACTTCTCATCGTGACGTCTTTGCATCGCAGACACCAAGCAGTTGTGAGCATTCCCATGGCAAAGTAAGTCTGTGGTTTACCATGTGCACAGGCTCATTGTTACAGACTCACTGTGCTTTCATTTGCTTTTCATTGCCAGACGTGGAAAATAGAAACTGTCCTTTACTGAATGTATTTCCTGTCTTATTAAAATAAAGAAATCACTGTTAATAGTTCTTGCCTTGGTCTTGCTAATATTGGTTTCCATTGAAAAACAAGCCTTACCTGATACCCACTCCCCCACACCTGCCACTTCAGTGCTTTAGGAAAGTTCTGGATTGATATCCCTAGGCAGTGAAGCTTTCCACCTGTAAAACCTGTCACCAGCAACATCACTCTATCTTCTTAACCAGTATGTCTCAAGTGTAGTTGAAAAGATCAGTGTTTCAGATTCTCATTTATGCACTTGTTCTGCAAAACCATATGCATTTGTTTTGCACTAACTTGAATAACGTTACTGAGGGAAGTTGCGTTAATCACATATTTGGGTTGGTTCTGTGCTTAGCTTTATAATAAAGATATGAAAGCTTTATTTTAAGATTTGTGGTCCAGATGGCATTCAACATTCACATATAGTATTAGTAATCTGTTCTAACAGCTGTTTTATGTCCTTGGTACCAGTGGGATTAAAAAGGGCAGTATAAGCATCTTTGCCAATAAATGATAAAAAGGTATGAATTAACAGTCATATGGGTCACAGCCGTTATATTAGAAGATAGGAAATTGCTTGCTGCAGATGACAGCATTTACTCTTTTCAACAGCTTAAATATTTGTTTTAATTATTCTTCATGAAAGTTTGTTTTCAGCAATTAAATCTTTTGATGTTATGCATACTTGCTGATAATTCAGTGACAGAAGATACTGATTTGTTTGACAGGGAATTTCAGTCTGGTTTTGTACTGATGTATAACAAAGAGGCTATTGGTGGTATAAATCATATTGATATAAATTTGGTCAAGTTTGATTCAGTGTTGGTGTGCTGCTGTTGCTGGCCCCTACTGCTAATTGTAGTTTGACATCCATTTTCCTTGTAGCTTAATAGGAAAGCTGTACTGCTTGTCAAAATCCTTTATTTTATTGAAGCTATTTAAAGTTCAGTTTATTGTTGCATTGTGAACAAGACCAGGATGCATAAATTCTGAGAGAGTTCCCTAGCTGGATCAGTTTACAAAAAAAAGAAAAGGGGGGTGGTGGTGGTGGTGGAATTCTGAGGATCCCCGGCAGTTCTTTCTCTTTGCACTTCCTGCTTGTAAAGTTTCACTGTGTGATCACAAACCAGTCAGATCCCATTTTAAAGCTTGTAATCATGTGGACTCATTTCCTTAGCAGGTCTTAAGGTTTGAGGAGAAACAATCTGGCTAGTGCAACATAAGAATCTCTCAGATGCAACATGATAACTGGCTGTGTGCACTCTTTGCAGTCTACTTTAGTACCAGTAACATTGCCTCACTTAAACCACATTCCTCTTTCAAGTACCTTTCAGCATTGTTAAATGGTTTTCAAAGGCCTGATTTGCTTGCCAGAGCAAGAGAGTTATGAGTGTGCATGTAGTTACTAGTGTTAGCCAGGAAAATGATAGCTTACATCTGGAGACAGTAACTTCCTGAAACTCAATAGCCTGATCCCATACTGAAAATACTTCTGTTTTAAAGGGTGGGGAGAAGAAGGTCTCTTTTACTCAAGTATGAAGTGTCACAGCCTTTCATATTCTAAGTGGACACACAAATTAACTTATATTGTCTGCATTTATCTGGATGTCAGTGGTTGTCTTCAGTTATCTGTATTGGGTGAATTTCAAGTATTGAGTGTTATGTTAGGTCAGTGCCCTGGTGGCCAGCTTGATGCCTTTCCAGGAATCACTAGAAGCAGAAGTTCTTCCCAGAGGGCTCTTAACCACCCTTCCTGGTATCTTTTGCTTGCATTGTCATCTCTAGATCCTCTTTGCTTTTGCACAGTGGAAAAAACAGCCAGTGGAGGTACACCTCATATCTTCAAGTCACCTTAAGAGAACCCTACTGCCCCTTGCCTGTGGTTAGTGGGAACCCTATCACAGAAGCCAGTTTCACATAGTCAAATTATACAAAAGACTTCAGCTCATTGCTTAATAATACAGAAAACCTAAGTTCTTGACCAGGGTCTAGCTATATTCTCCAAATAATTTATTGCTTGTCTCTTTTGGTGCAAGCTTTGTAGCTCCATGATGGTAGCAAAGATTTCCTGATTTTATGCAGGCCTTAGGGAGGAAAATGTTCTGTTCTGTTAGTACATTTCCTGTTGTCTGCTATTACTTGCCATTTTTTAAATAGGGCACTGGTGCTGTATGTGCGTACCTTTAAGTCCTTTGGGGGTCTTTCAAGATACAAGATGTTGGTTTTGTTAGTAATGGGCCAACCCTTTCCATTGCATTTCAAGCAAACACTTCACAGTTCTCCAGGAGTTCGGACTAAGACAAACTTGAGCCACATTTTTGTCCTTTCTGTTCCAGACTATTTTGGATGCTGTTCTATTCCTAGTATAATTTATACTGTAAGGAAAACTGTACTGTAAGGGTACAACAATTGCCGCAGATGACAGTATTGATGGCCACACTGTTATGAATCCCTCCTGCTTCAGTACAGACTGTGTAAGAGGCATTCCCCACTGAGGAGCTTTGTACAGTTTACACAGTACTTAAAATCACAGTTTTCCCCATATTGAATTCAAGGCTTTTGTAATTTGCTGTTCTCTGCCACAGCAGGATGTTAAATTCACCCATCAAGTTTATTTTGGCCATGAGTTTGAATTGTGTTGTTGAGTGTCACATTTTGTATTTTCTGGATGTCATCACACTGTTCCAGTATTTCTTCTGGAGACATCCATGTTGAAGTGAAATAATTTGACTTTCAGACTACAGTCAGAGGAAATTTTAGAGTGTTTAAAAAAAAAGCTTGGGCACAACAAACTTTGTTCTGTCAAATCTCATAATTTAAATGATCTCTAAGTTCTGTAACATTTCCTGGCTGGTCAAACTTTGGAAGGTCAAGTGGATCACTGTATAATATCATTTTATACTCCCAGTTCATGTTTTACATTCTACTAGCTGAATTCTTTGGGGGAACTGCTCTAATTCTTCAGAAATGCTATGGAGAATAGCCATTTGTTTGTCTTTCCATTTTCATTCTGACTGTCTGTCTTAAAAACTTGAATAAGATGCTGTATTTATTAAAACAAACTTCACTTCCATTTTATTAAATAAACCTAGATACAGAATCCTTTGATGAATTCTACTGTTCAGTAGAGGACCATCATTGTCACAACTTTGGGACTGTTTATCTTTGCTCTTCTGCTTGCATGGGTATATGTGGTGGTAGGTTTGCTTGTATTTCCTGATTTGTGAGGTCTCCCTTTTTTGGTTTGTTTTCTTTTGTGTGCACAGCTTGAGCAAGTGGACTCCAGAGGTGTGCATCTTGGTGCTGTCGTTGTTCGTGGCCTTGCAACTTTGCTGATGGCCAATAGTGCCTGTGGCTTTCCATTCAGAATGGGTGATTTGATGCCTTGGCAGGTGTTTGACGGAAAACTCTTCCAAGAAAAATACCAGCAGTCACATCGAGGTTGCTCTTTGGAGGAGCTTTTGGAAGGCAATGTGAGTAATCGCATCCTCTTAGACAGTTCTGTATTCTTTGATAAATGTACCTGTCCATGTTTGTTTATTGTTTTAATATTCATGTTTACACTGGTCCACTTTCTTTGTATTTTTCCTCTTTTCCTTATTCCTTTTTCGTCCTCTCCACCAACAAAAACAACTAAGAAAATAGAAATACTGAGACTATGAAGGAAGCTATAATTTTACCTTTATTTTTGTTTCTGTTGCTCAGAAAAATAATATAAGGAAGTGTAAAAATGGTCGTCATATTTCAAAATATGATAATTCCTGTAATAGTTTTCTCATACTAAGATATTAAGAGATCTTTTTCCTTTAAGATTTTAGGCAACATAGTAAGAATGTCTTTCAGTAAACATACTGGGTATAATTGTTAAAGTGTTTAAGAGTGTTATTAAGGAGCCTAAAGTTTTAGTCGAAGGTTTGGTGAATCAAAAAGGAATTGGAAACTGGAGGAAGGTAGGTATCTAGGTATTTTTTCAGAATCTCGCCAGGTACCTTCTTGTACCTCCAAGTACTTACTTAATTCTCCATCCTACTTTCCACAGGCTAGAGATTTGTACAATTTGCATGCTATATTACCATAAAAACGGTATTATTTAAAACATATCTGCCCAGGTCAGGCCAGGGACATATCAGCAGAGTCTTGCTGAGTATGGGCCACATCTGGTGTGTTAGGGTGACATCATGGCCAGGCTCAGAGGTAAGGTCTGCTAGAGTGTGGCAAGGTGGTAGGAATATGCTAGTGAAGCCTTGGACGAGACCTGGCTCATGCCCCACTGGCACAGAGTATGTGGAGAGATGCTTGGGTAGATCTGTACTCATCTGTGTAGATAGCTCTTAAGACCTTTGATTAATGTGACTCTTTTCAGTATGGTACTGAAAATCCTGTGTCATTTAGTTACTTTTGAAAATTTTATCTTTGAAATGTTTTTACCTGCTGTTACATGTTTTACTTGAGGTTAAAATAAATAAAAGTGATTACAGACACAGCAGTTTTCAGTTTTCAATGGTTTTAATCTCATTCAGTACTAGTTGTACAATTAGTTTTCTCATTTTGTGTCCAGTTACATACCATCTGGATCTTCAATGATGAGTGGGATATGTGTGGGTGGGTGGAATGTATGTGTTTTCATCATGGAGGAGCAGGAGGATAATATTTTCCATATGAAATCAATCATATGATTAGGGCTATAGCCTCTACCCAGATCCTGTGGCTCCCATTAACTGGTCAGTTGATTTCAGTAAATTTTGAATTGGGCCAGTGCTTCCTCCAATTTTTCATGTAGGTCTTTTGCAGTGCAGAAGAGTGTCCAAAGAATAAATGGGAAAATATGAACCTGTACAGATCTATGTAAACCTGATAATTCTTTTCCATTTGGGTAGAATTCAGGTTAGTGAATAACTTTTACAATATCTATATCTGTAGAAAATTTATATTCCCTGAGAGGTGTTTTAAAATGTATTAGGTAGTATGTTTTAGCCAGCAGTTGAAAATCTTGATATGATCAGGTTAAAAGAAGGAAGGTGCTTAGATCTCTAGAACAGAGTTGGAAATTTTCTTGATCAACTAAAATATCTGGGTTGGGGTTTTGAAAGACTGATACCCTAGTTTAAACAAACCCCAGATAAATGATTCTGTTGTGGGAAAGAACAGCCTAGCCCTGTGAATTTTTAGAGTAGCTTAAATACCTTTTTCTTTTTTAGGTACAATTTTATGGTACATATATGGCAGAGATGGCTCCCAGACCAATAAAACAGCTTTCCGGCTTATCAGTTTGAGACAAGAATCTGTTTGGGGGAGAATTGCCAAGAGATGCCAGTTTAGCTAGGGACACTGGCAAGGCAGCGAGCATATGTGATTGGTTTTTCCTATTATTATAAGTTCAACTGGTACTTAGTTTTTGGCAGAGCTTAATGTACTGCTGGAAGCCAAGATCTTTCAGCACTTCTGTGTTAACAATCTGCCCTTGAGCACCATAAATCTAATCTGATGATAGTGACAGCATTGTTTTCAGAAAACAGATATTCTACATGGGATTTTTTTGTTTTAGAAAAGATAAGTAATAGAATAGGAAGAAATTACTCCTTTTGGTGTTTGGTGCTTGTCTCCTAACTCCTAAGGCCCCTTCTCTATGATCTGGATAGTTACATTACTTCAGGGAGATCTCAGAATCATTGTTTGGATTATGATAGGCTTAAATTCATTTAATAGCTTTATGAAAATTGCAGTAGAAATACAATCTTGGTTAAACATCAACATGTATACCAGAAATTTTGAACATTTTAGGGTTTACTTCCTGCAGATTCTTGTACCGAAAGAACAAAATGTATAAATTATATGCAGTTGATATATGTGTGGACCAGTTTTTGTGCAGCAGAGCTCTTTGTAGCCTAGCAGCTATTAAAGATAAAAAAATGGGAAGCTTCTGATAAGAATCAAAAATAGAACCATCTTGCTTTTTAAAATAATACGCTAAGCTCATCTTATCTAGTTCTCTGTTTTTCATAACAGTAATCATATTAGTTTGTTTATCCACACAGAAAATTGGATATAATAGTTTCATAAAGCAGTGAGGCAATGATGTTATCACTTTGTTAGCCTTCTTATTGTGCTTCTCAGTAATGAATATGTTCATGATCAATTTTTTTAAATTAAAACTGAATTACCTAATGGGGTCAGTGTAGATGATACGCTTTGTCCTCTACTCATCTCTCCAAGAATCCACTTTTAATACAAAATATTTGAACTTTGTTTCCTGAAAAAGAATGTGAACCAGGTCTACCACTTTCATATATACATGAGTGTGGCTAAGTTGTGGTATATATGATTTATTTGTGCTACACCTGAAGAGAGAAAAGCAGCACATCCATTGATTTTTAACCCTCTTGTCTGCAGGAGTCTTTGTATACACCCTTCGAGAATCTGAAGTCTTTCATTTGCAAGGCTTGCATGGCAAAGAAAAGAACAATACAGAGCAGACCAAGAGGGAATGGATTTATCACAGGTTGGCATTGTGTTGATTTTCTCAATAAGTCAATATATTGATAAGCTCAATTATCTTTCACCAGCAGCAGCATTTACATAGGCAGCCCATCAAGCCAAGTAAATTGTAAGATATTTCTCCAAGAAACCAAAGAAGAGGTCTGTGAAAATATTTTGTGGTTTCAGGAATTTACATGATTCGGATTACCCAAGTTTGACTAGAATAGTATTTCCATCTAGCTCCACAGGTAGTGAGATACATGCAGTAAATAAAATATCTTTCACTGACTGAAACATCACTGCTATTTACTCAGTGACTAAAGTTAATTTATAGAAGGAATTAGATGACTCAGAGGTTTTTTGTCTTCTTTCCCTCAGGGAAGCTATTGTAATGTTGATAGTTGAAGGTCCGAGTGAGGCACTGAAGAGAGAATACTCTTTATTGGACTGACTGATACAGGCTTTTGGGCAACCTGGACAGTGCCTTTTTTTTTTTCCTTTGCCCAAGACTTTGCTTCCACCCCTGTCAACTTTATGGCTCGGTTTACTAAAGGCATTTGTTTTTCCCACTTGATCTACCTGACTTTTAGGGGGAAAAAAACATCTGAAAGGTTTTTAGCACCATCCAATGATCTCTCTGAATGTTAGGGATTTTGAGGCTTTGAAATAATTCAACTGAATCACAGTGCTTATGCTGCTATTAAGTTTATTACCTGCGTAATACCTGATCAGTTGTGTCTGTGAAGATAAAAATTACCCCTTCAAAATTCCTTGAGCAAATTAAACAAGAGTGATTTTCTGTTAGTTCAGTACTTCGCATTACGTGTCAGTAATACTTCTGCTGTTGTACTACACCATACTGGTGCTGGACATCCAGAATTAAGGGTATCTGTTGGTAATTTATGATACCAGACCTTGTTAGCATCTGCTATTGCTTGAGAGCTGTACTTAACCATTTTAGTTATGATTTGTGATTCCAATTTGGACAGAGATTTCTGTTTGTTGTAATGACTGCAGTCTCCAAATCTGTGTCATAAAATTTTGATCTGGTTTCCAAATACTCTTGTTAGCAGCTTGTAATCATGATGTGCATAGATGGAAAGACAGACCCATGCTTATTAGTCCGACTTTAGTTTGGAGAAATTGTAATTGTGCATAAGTATTTTGGCATAAAACTAAGAAATGTTGTTTCCAAAAAAGGAATGTGCTGTCTCTCTTTTATTTCCTTTAACCTTACAGTTAGAGTTGCTTAGTAAATACTGTTTTTCAGGAACACCACAAAGAGAATTTAATCCCAGGTTCCAACAAGTACACAGAAGTTCTTTTGTTCCTCCATATCATAACCAGGCGAGGGGGTTCCTGTGGAGAAATCCTCAACCACAAGGTAAAAAAAAAAGTGTGCACATGTGTGCATTTCGAATTGTCTCTATCAACACTGTGACAGCTCTGTGTCTATATGCAGATTGCATTTGTATGCATGCAGTTATCCTCTGGCTACAGCAATCTGTAACAAAACTTGTATCAGCTATAGTTGTGTACTGCCATTAGCAAAAACTAACTGTGCAAGGTGAGGAAGAGTGTAGTGTTATACTTCTACTCACAATGTTCTAGCAAAAAAAAACCTTTCATGTATTTAAACTTTCCATGCTTGGTCTCAGCTGAATTGCATTTAAAATCACAATAGTTGTAAAGCAAATTGGTACAGCTGCATGGAAGTGTCTGTCTCAAGTCTTTAGATGCAGATCTTCGTTCGTACTTCAACAAAACATTGAAGCATGTGAATAATGTTAAAAACATTCTGGAGTGGTTTTCTAGATCAGGGTCTCAGCTTCCAGATCATTGCCTAAGTAGTGCAAGTGCAAGTTCTATCTTATCTTGCCATTAATCTTAAATGATCCACCGATCTCACTTCTTGAATGGAACAATCATTTCAGTGGAGCATCACTGTGGATAACACTGTGGAGCTGACATAATTCAGTTTTTTTCCCATTATTATGAATTAAAGCATATACATATAGATTAACAAAAATAAAAGAAAGGGAAGTGTCTAACAAAGGTCAAATATTTTATTAAGTTTGTAGAGCCTAAATTTCTTCTGTGTTTCCAGGTGAAGTTTTCAGAGATTTATGAGATAAGAAGGATAAATAATAAATAAATCCAGTAAAGTCTTTAATAAGCTGCCACTGTTGTAGACTTGAGAGATACTATCATTTGATTCACAGAAAAAGACTGATCATGTATGTAAAATGTAAAGCTAAAATACAGAGTGCGTATGCTGACCAGGAGCAGAAACAAAACTGATCATTGTTATCATGTTCATCTCAAGAAGCCTGCTGTTCAGGGGTTGGGTCATCTCTGACCAGCTCCAGAGATATTATAACTACATGTATTTCACAAAGCATGTTCCACAGTAACTGTGCTGAACAGTGTTATGAATATGTTTCAGTAGCATTATTAAAACATCTTGGCTTCTTCTACACTAGACCTATTTACTACCCTCAGGATACTCTTAAAATGTGATCCCATAAGTGCAGTCAAATTGCCTCTGTTATAATCAACACAGATTTATTGGGAAAATGTATCTGTCCTTACAGAAGAGCCCTGTGATATTTTAGAGCTCCTTTTAATCTGATCTGCCAAGATGACTCATTTTGACAAAGCTTTTTTCCTGAGTTTGCTAATATTAAGACAGCAGTTGCAATGAATTGCTTATGAAGCAATGAGTTGCTTTATTATATAGCTTTTTCTCTGCTGTATGTATGTGTCTCACTAAAGAGAGAGAAAAAAGAATGAAAAAGGAGCAATTTTGTGTTCCATGATAGCTTATGTGATACAACTTCCTAGTAAAATTACCTATCTATCGCATCCTTTATGCACATTCCCATGGTATATTGTTATGGTTCCTGCCTTTGCATAGTATACATAAATCATTGGATTAAATGCAGTAAAAATTAAAGGACGGGACCCATATCTTCTGTATCAGAAGTGTACCTAACCATTATGCAGCCTTTGCTCTCTCTTATCTGTTAACATTTAAGGATTTTGTGACATGGTCTCAACTTTAACAGTGGAGGAAAGAGTGCCTCCACCCAGAAAGCATAAAGCTAAGAAGCACTGGTATTTCTCTGAAAAGATGTTTTGATTCTGCTTAGGCAGAGCGAGAATTGAACATAGGCTTCCCTCATTTTATGGCGAATACTAAACACTGATTTGTTGTAATTAACATCTCAACCTCTACCTGTATTTTGAGAGAATGGAGTTCAGCTGTGGGATTTTTCTGGTTTGGGGGGAATGGGGTGGTTTGGGGGTTTTAAATATTTATTTATTTATTTTAAGTTCTTTTCATAAATTTCTTGTATGTGTGTCACAAATGGAAAGTGTATCTGTGTAACCCAGAACAGAACATCTAAGCCTTACAGGGAGGTAGATTTTCCCTTAGTGTTTCTTGTTTGTTAATTTGGAAGACTTCCTATTTAGCATTCCTATGTTGGCTGTTGTGTATCCTATTCTGAGTGTCTGTCCTTTTCTGATGCTTGTTAGACAGATCTTAGGTATCTAATTTAAATTTAAGGTTAGGCTTCTGTTACTGAGATAATGAAACTGCATTGCAGCACTTCATAATCTTTGAGTTTCAAAGCCTTGCCCAAAGTAGCATAGACATCTGTAGGAAACCATGACTTTACAGATTCTAGTTTCATGGTTGAAACACCACATTATATACCATATAGCCTATTGGTAGACAAAACCTCATTAAGTAGAAGTTAACACCACTAATACATTATTTTGAATCACATTGTTACCTCATTCTACAAATAGCTGAAAATAAACTGAGCACTAACAACTGGAAATCATATTGGGTATTATGTGTCTTTGCCACTCTTCAACAGTCCAGCCGATAAACACCTAGGCTGTTTGTCATAGCATATAAATTACCCCCTAGATCTAATTCAACATAAAAAAGAGAGGGAAAAAAATTCATTTGCTATAAAAGGGGCTTATAAGAAAGTTGGGCCTTTTGCAATAGGGTGAGGGGTGATGGTTTTAAATTGAAAGAGAGGAGATTCAGACTGGATGTGAGGACAAAATTTTTTACAGTGAGGGTGGTCTAATTCTGGCACAGGTGGTGTGCCACAGAGAGGTGGTGGATGGATGCACCATCCCTGGAGACATTCAAGGCCACCTGGATGTGGTTCTGGGCAACCTTATCTAGTTGAAGGATGTCCCTGCTGATTGCAGAGGGGTTGGACTAGATGACCTTTGAAGGTCCCTTCCAACTCAGTCTATTCTATGATTCTATGTATTTAATCAAGGCTTCCACACTTACGCTGCATACTGTATTCAAGCATATTTCTGGTTAACAAGATTTTGATAGAACTGGAAAGTAGGTGGGACTTGACAGAACTTTGGTGCTGAAAAAAGATATCATTTTGAGTTTGAGTACTGCTTTGCTTATAGAAATCTAACTGAAGCAGCACTGTACAGAGGCACACTTAAACCAGTATGAAAATGTTTGTTAATACGGCTTAAGGCTGATTCTAAATAGTATATTTTACTTTACTGAATTCACGTGGTCTGATCTACCAACCACAGTGTATGACCTGTGTATGATCCACTATCCCAACCTGTGAGTTGGACTAGATTTAACAGTTGCAGTGGGCCAAGAGCTTTAAGAGCAATGCCACCATGGACTGTGCTCCAGCATCTCAAAATATAGCCATAACTATACATGAACTGGAAAGGGACATGTTCTTTTTTCAATATTTATATAAATGTAGTTTTTATTGCAGACTATCTGAATAAGCTCTTATATTCTGTCTTTAATGTTAATTAAAAACATTTAAATCCTCTCCTCCCTCCAGGTAGAGAGCATAGATCAGGTCATCCAGACCGAAGGAGAAGATTCCATGTTCCTTCTCGGTGAGGAATACAAGTGTACAGGTAGCAAACTGAGACGATGGGGTAGTTACCATTGAGATATGTTTTGTTTATGAGATCGTCTTTTCATGGACTTTACAGAATAACTGAACCATGTGATTGTGGAGGAAATAACTCAAAGCTGAGGCTATTCAGCTTGTTAATCACTTGTTACATTAGGTCTAAGCTTGCTATGAGATCAGAATCACTAAAACTGAAGTTAAAGGCACCAGCTGAAGCAAAATAGCATCCCAGTATAGCTATATTTTTTTGTCCATTTGGCACTTTAAAGTCTGAAGTGTTTTTTACATTGTTAGATATTCCTGATTACAAGCTTTAAGACTTAAACTGTAAGGTTTGCATATTTTTATTACAGACATATGTATTACAAGAGTTTACTTACCATGAATATCCCTGCTGAATTGTGGTTCATGTTAATTCACAGCAGTTTGTGTCTTAATTGTGGATTATATCTTTATTTTAAGGGTTACACCATTGTTACTGAAACCCATTGAAAAATTTGAAACATGATATTACTGATGTCAACATCATCTGCCAATGAACCAAAATCACCTTCCTGTAAAATGCAGCAAAAAATTGCTATTACTTTTGGCACTTCTACTTAAGTAGCTTTGTCTGTGTATCTCAGCTCACTGAGACCACAGGGAACCACATCACTGCTGAGGAGAGAAAGAATCTGTCATACTTACTTCTGTAAACTTACTTAAGAGAGCTAAGTCTTCTTTCCTGTCCAGAATTCTAATTTAAACACCTTCAGAATTATTTCTTAAAAGTTGATGTATTTCACTTTGTGATTTTGTTTCATTGATGTGTGTGTTTTATTATAAAATTAATTCATTTTAAATAGAGTTATATAAATAATACCAAAGAACGGTAAAATAACAGAGCACATGCAATTTTTAACAGCACCATAGGATCATATGTTGGTAAATTGGTACTACAAAAGCCCCTCTTCAAGTCATTACTTGTGTTTATTAAGAAACTTAGAGATTGCAACAACATTCTTATGTCTTCCATTTGCATACCCATTCAACTAAAAATAATCAGAGGTACTTCACTGTTATTATCTTCAGGCTAAAAATATTAGGCAGTTATGTAGGAATCCCATTTTAAATCATGACGTATAAAAATTGTACTAGAGGAAGAAAGTGTCAACAGCACTTTATGTCACATAGAAAATGGGTGACACACTTAGAACTGTGTTGTATCTCTTTACTGATCTTCGTCTCACCTAATTGACAATTGTCTCCATCTAGGTAATCTTCAACAATTTCATGCTTTTCTTAGATTCTTAGCAAGCTTTGAATGGGGTTGGCTCAAGCAAATGTTTATGGAAATGATGGGGTTTCAGCTATTTATGTGCTTTGGAATTGCAGTATCTTTAGTTTTGACTTCAGCATTTTCAGTACATGAAGTTATATAATAACATCTCTTCTTCTCATACAGGAGGTATAAGATGAAAGAGAAATGAAAGTTTGGTGTCCCATTCCTTCTCTCAAAAAAAAAAAAGCAGCAGAAAAAGGGGATATCCAAAGATAGAGGCAAAATGTTAAGAGCAAGATTTGGAATTTGATACAGTGTGCAGATTTTCCTAAGAGCATGTTGAGTCACCGATGATGATAATTCAAACAGTAAAGTCAGTGGTGTTGCATGTGAACAAAATTTTGTATTTACACAGAAAACTGTGGCCTTCATGTTTATCATGTTGGAAAATCCACTCTTTTGGACTATTTTTCTTTTGAATAATACTGACCAGTATCTTGTTAGTGTAGCTCTTATAATGATCATTCTAGATTTTACTGATACAGAAACTGTATCTCACTCTTAGCCTTCTTATTATATATAATTATATTTATTTTTATAAGCATTTGAAAATTAAATCTAAAAACTATCTCATGACCAATCCTAACAGAGAGTAGCAGATGCTGTAAAACTTAGTGCTTGCGCTAAGACTTGCAGAACTTAAGGGTCAAAGCATAAATGCTGATTTGGATAATTAACACATTGATCACTAAACCTAGAATGCATCGTGGTAGTTCAATCCCCTGTGTAATGCGGATCACTAAATCTTACACTGCAACAGGCTATACCTTCTAAAATTGTTTCAGTGTTGATGTTCATGTGTCTTGTCTCCTCACAGCTGTTTGCTTTTTAAATCACCCAGGTGACCCAGCTCATTACTGGAAGTGGATGAAAATGGCTAAGAGAACAAGATGCGTTATGAATTGCAGTATGCTGAAAATCATTAAAACTTCATCAGTGTTTCAAAACTGGTAGTGGGAGAGTCTAATCAGCAGCTTATCATGCCTCATTTTCAGTTCCATTTTATTTTTATACTTTTTGCTTCTAGCCTGTAGCTTAGAGAAGTAAATCATGGAATGTTGTAAAACAATTATTATATAGTTTAAGTTCCACAAAGTATTGTTTGGGGCACTTTGCAAAAACCTGGTTGACATGCTTATGAAAAATGATCATGAAAAAATTACATGAAAAAAATAGAGGGCAGTCCTAGGTATTGAAGAAGGCTGCAAAATTTTAATCAATTCATTTAATCAATTGTAAAAACTATTATGCCGGTTCTCTTGTAAAAACTGTTATGCCTCTTCTGTTAAACCTTTATGCTATTCTGTTAACAGTTTGAACAGACACTATTTTTACACAGCACAGTGTCTGATTTGCATTCCAGGGATCTTGTTGTGAAAGGGACATTCCTGCTGCCTTTTTCTATTGATTTAGAATTTCCTTCAAAGTTACACTGGCCAGAGGCTTAGTCTAAGTCTTAGTGTGTCTTAAGACTTAGACTTTGAGGCTAAAGACAGATGTAAGGACTGGAATAAACCTTAGATATCTCATAAATGACTCACTGCATATGGAGGAGAATTCTAGGTATTCCAGAAGAGGACTATCCATTTGACTCAGCTCTGAAAGGCCCCAGAATAATAGGACATTAAAGCTATAGCAATTTTGTACATAGAAACTGATTTTATAACTTTCTGGAATCTTTTAGGTACCCTTTTCTCATTCTCTGAGACTGAGGAACTGTGAAAGTAAGCTGCATGGTAGAAAAGTAACATTTTTTTAACTGTGACATGATTGTAAACCCTTTAGAAGAACCCCTTTTTACCCAAGCCTGGGCACTTTCAGCCTCAAATAGCATAAAGGTTAATTGTACTACCGCTTTTTCCTTTTTTTCCCCTTAAAATCTCTTAGAATAATGTGATCTGAGTTTTATGGAAAGTTCTCTAGTTTCAGGAATCTCATGATGTATAATAGTGTATTTGAAAGAATGTAATTGTGTGCCAGAATTTGTTGGTAATTTCCCCTTCAGGCTTTGATACAAGAAAAGATTTTGGTTGGCCTCAATAAACAAAGTTAAATACTGTTGGAGTGGGAGTTTTGCTGTGCTAGTTGTGGTATGTTATGAATTGTTGGTAATAATTACCCTGACTACTGAAGAATTGTTAGCTTCTCTGTGAGGCTTTTTTTTTTCTTTCTGATGTTAGACCATAAGCAGAAGCTGCTTATTATTATTTCCATGCCAAAGGTTTTTTTCCCACCAGGAATCATAAAGTGAAAGGAGAAACATGAAGTCAAAACAGAGGTGCTACTTTCCTGTCACCGTGAACCTTAAATTGGTCACAGTACCATAAAGCTTATGGACTGTAGAAGGAAACAATATACAAGAACATGACCTTAAAGATTCCATTCTAATAGGGTTTCGTTAATATATGGACTACAGGGTTACTTTGCATAGGTAGGTGGATTTGAAGTGAAGGAACCTCCATTTGTGAAGAAAAACTTTCTTTCTTCTTGTTTGGCTATACTGCTTACTGTCTTCTATATCCAATGCACTGGGTAGCTGCCTTTCATCAAATGTTCACTAAAATTATAGACTTATATATTAGCTGTATTTCTGGAATGGGATTCAGAGAACATTCAGTAACATCCATAACTTTGTCAACTGTGACTCAACAGAAACTGTGACATGATCATTGCAAGAGTGGCTCACAGAAAGACATTTATCAACTTTCATCTTTTTATTTATTATGTACCCTTCATCTTGCATTACTTTGCTCATTTGTGACACTATCAGGCTGGGAATCAGAGTCTGAGTTGCAGAAAACACTGAAACACTGAGTTAATCTTATGATGCTATGGCGCTGTAAGTATCAAAACATACAGATTATGCTTGTTTTATATAACAGGAAACAACAGGTTTAGTTGCTTTGCTAGCTTAGCAAGTGCTATGCAGAGGTGGAGGGGAACAGAAGTGCCAAAGATCTGCAAATAATTTTTCGCCATGCTTCTAAACATAGGTCATTCAGACTTGCTGAGGTTGCTCAGAATGGGGCTCAGTGATGGTGAGTATACAAGCTCCAGTGTTTCCTGGTGTCCCAGGTGCACAGATGCCTGACAGCCACATGGCTGTCTGCACCCTGTGTGCTCTACCAGGCTGTTCTCCTGCCCCCCATGGAGTGACCCTGGATTCAGCTGTGTATGGGAAAGACCTGTGTGAGAGATCTCTAAAAAGTCTCATGGGAAGCCTCTGCCCCCTGGCTCAAGTGTTCTATTTAAGCTCAGGTCCCTGCCTAATCTGCTTTGCAGGAATAGCTGTGTCCAGCCTGTCACCTTGGCTTCCTGATTTGAATTCCTGGTTTGACCTGGGACATCCTTCATCTCCAGAGACTTGTCCAGTGATCACGGGACTCTTGTGTGAACCTGGGTACAATCATCAGACCTGTTCTGCTCTTGTTCAGGTACCATGGGACTGGACCCTCACAAGGAAAGTGATGCCCTACCTGTGTTGCCATTCAGATGCTGGCTTGCCTTCCTTTGTGGAGCAGCCCACCCTTCCTGCTCCATGACAGTGAGTTATAAGGCCCTGAGAGCAAGGTGGTAAGACATTTTAGCTGGAACTACCACAGTAATTGGACAGTGTCAAAACAATAGATATGGTCCATGGGATTACTTTCTGCTGGAAAGGTGCTTGAAAAACTGAAAACAGCTACAACCAGCACAGTGTCTTTATGTATCTCTGTGCAATTAGGACCTTGCATTCATTGATTTCCTAGATCTCACAGCTGACATCCAGACCTTTCTCACCCATAATCAAGATACTAAGAGCAGAGCTCAGAAAAAAACACACTGTATTTTAACATTATAATACACTGTATTTTAATGTTAATACACTGTGTTTTAATGTTACACACCACAAGTGTGAAGCTGCCTCTGAACATGGGAGTTCTTTTGTTAAAGAATATGTTTCTGCAAGTGATACTCCTAGACCTCTGCTGGCTTGAAGTCCTAGGTAGGACATAAGGTGTTAAGTGTTACTGCAGTGTCTTGGCTAGGGTTTTTCACCTGGAAGTATGTAGTCCTCTCATGGCTCTGTAGTTGAGACAGCACATGGTGTGTTGGTTATCTGTAAAAGACAGAGAGGCAGCTGACAGTTATATTCTGACTGAGTACTCACCAGCTTAAATGTGTTATTTAATCTTACTACAAAATTAGGGATTGACGTTTGGTATTGAATAACCTATTACTGTAGTGGTCAAATGGATGAAGTGATATATTCAATGTTAATGCATTTAATCTAGGCATGACTTTCAGTATGAAATATGTTGATGTTTCAGATGTATTCATCATCTCTTTTTCATGCCAGAAGACACAAGAAATACTAGGCACAGAAACCAATTCTGGATATAAGCCCTCTGAAAATGCTTGAAAACTGAAGGTTTTTTAATAGAGAGTGATGCCCCCTGTCTTAAAAAATTAGGTAGCCAAGTATGCAGCTGGCCTTTGGACTCTTATTAAAGAGCAAAACTATTGTAAAGAGCTGTTCTGATCTCAGATATGATTTCTAAATATGCTGTAGGTAACTCAGGAAGTCATTCTTCAGTGAAAGAAACCATTTTTTAGGAAAGTAATGAGAGATTTGTATGTTGTTTTTGGCATTTGCAAAATTTAAGTCAAGGTAACCATTCAGGAGTTAGGTTTATCAGATCCACCTATTTTAGTCAAGGGTTGGTTGGTTTGTTTGTTTGTTTGTTAATAGCAGAGGCCCAGCAAGCTCTGTATTTACTTTCTGAGACTACTTTAATTTTCATTTGTGATGATGATGCAGCTCATCTGAAAGGATGTAACTCTGTGATGTGCTGCCTTCTGATACTCATCTTCACCCTCTGGTTTAATTGCCCATCAGATCCTCTAGTTCTTCTGATCTCTATTCTGCTGGAAAGTTTTCAATTTGAGTGAAGTTCACCCAAGTCTGAGGCATGCTGGTGATAAAGCCAGGCCTCTTGTTATGTAACACGCATATGAAAGATCACCGCATTTAAATATGGATATAAGGCTGACTCTGAATCTTAACCATCTTCGGGCAAATTGCAACACTTCTTTCTTAAACAAAGCCTTCCTTTTGTAGGTGTGATTTAATTTCTACTCTATATTCCTTGTGCAGAGGGGAGATTCTGCAAAGGAGCAAATAGGAGGGGTTAAAAAAAATCCACTGGTGACATTGCATTGTCAAGCAGAAGAGGAATTGCAGCTACACAGTCAATGCACCACAGCACAGAGCATTACGAAGGTGGACAGTGCATGCATCTAGGCTAAAAGTTCCAGGTTTTAAGTGATTCAGAAAACTAGGGCATACTGTGCTTCCATCATGTTTGCAGTACACTTAATGCAGTTATCTTCTCTTTTATTGACTACCTGCATATCTGGGCTCATTTTGCAACTGTGTGACACCTCTACAAGTCTATACAGTGATTGTGGTTTATGCTTTGCATAAGGTTACATTTTCGATGATTTCGTGAAGTGGCCAAGAAAAAGAAGTTTTATTAACATGCAAATTCATCCTCCTGTTATTTTGAAGAGGGAATTCTTTTACTTCTTTGCATTACTGATTACTACATGAAGTCCTGGCAACAAATAGTGCTGTAAGAAACTTTTGGTCTAAGCAAGTTAAAGACTAGCATCAAAGAGAAAAATGCTAAGTGCTGTTAAGAGCCAGTTTGTGTGTCCTAACAATTACTTGTTGGGAGTAGGAAAGAAGTCCCAAATTTGTCGCTGTGCATTTGTTTACACTCACATGTTATTGCTTAATCAACCCACTATCCCACTCCCTGATAAACCCTCCATATGTCCGTAGAGGGAGCCCAACCTAGCAAGGCTGATCTTGGTTTAGAAATTAGGATTGGAGGATGATGGGGCTTCCTTTCTGTTACTTGTGCTCCAGGACTGCAATGCTTCAGGGGATTGTTACCTGCCCTCTGTAATGCTCACCTGGGGCTACAGCTGGTGCTAGCCTGCAGCATTCAGAATTTGAAAGGATGAGTGTCCAGGCTGCTGGAGGATGCAATGCATTTGCCTTTCTACCTGCTGGATATGATATAGCCTTCAAGAAGGAATAGTTTCAACCTCAAAATAGTTGTACTTCTAGGTATGTGAGGGTAGTGTGTGTGAAGTTTCTGCAAGAGACTCTGTAGCATTTTTCTCTTAAACAATTTTTTTCCTCTTTGTATGACTTCAGTTAAATCTCTGAAGGG